CCATTGACACACCAGAGCAAGCAGAGCCACCAGCAGTGGTAGCATCACCAGAGCAAGCAAAGCAGCAGCCTTCTGATGCCATTGACGCTGTCACTGCGCCAGCAACAAACACAACAGGGCAAGCCAAGCCGCCAGCAGCGCTAGCACCACAAGAGCAAGCAAAGCAGCTGCATTCAGATGCACATGCCACTGGCTCCGCAGCAACAGCAGCTTCAACCCAAACACCACAGCAAGAAGAGCCGCAGACTTCTGATGCACAAGCCACAGGCAAGGCAGAGGCCACAGCAATAGAATCACCAGAGCATAAACATGTAGCAGCAATTGGAGAACCTCAGCCACCACAAGCTCACCAGCCAGCACAAGTACAGGAGCCAGCCATTGCTTGTCCAGGCAAGAGCCCCCGTGAACAGGTGTCAGGCCAAGAGTGCAAAGAGACAAACACCCATGGCATTGGCAATGAGGGTCTTGTTCCAAAGCCACTGGCCGGCAGTCTTTCACCAGACCCAGGTGTTGCTCTAGATCAACTTGCCCGCATGTCTCATGATGTAGTGGCGGCAAACCTCTTCCATGCAAGGCTTGCTGGTCAAGATGCTCTCTTCACCAGTCCTGAAATTGAGGAGGCGTTTCCTGAAAGCAGTGAAGATCTGATCAAAGATGCGGTCATCCAGTTTGCTGATGCTGCTGGTTCACCAGAGGCTGAGCATTTACGCCAGTTGACAGAACCAAAACTTCCAAGTCCCAACAAGAAGCCCAAGAGTCGCCTTGGCATGAGTCTGGAGGATCTTTTTCGTGCACAAAAGGCAGCAGCTGAAGCCAAGGCTGCAACTGCTGCATTGAAAGCATCCACCTCAGCCACTGCCAAGGGCCGTGGTCGCGGCTGTGCCCAGGCAGAACCAAAAGTGACTCCAGCACCAAAAGCCAAAGGTCGTGCCCGTGCAGAGGCCAAGCCGAAAGCCGATCCGACAGCAAAGGCCAAAGGCCGCGCCAAGGCAAAGGCAGTCTCAGTACCCCCAAAGGAGGTCGAGTAGCCACAGCCCAAGAAGCGTGCTAGAACCAAAAAGTGAACTAGCACCACAGCAGACAGCTTTTAGAATCGAACTGTTACCGCTACCAATGCGGCAATCAGGAACTTTTTCAGTCATGTGACAGAGGGATGGGGTTTGGCCTCTTTGTTTTTTGGCTGGATAGTGCCTGTGAAGAGAAGACCAATGATGTTCCGAACAGAGAGACACTGCGGGAAAAAAAACAGCATGTGCTGTGTGCGCTTGCCATTCCGCTTGTTGATTTCCCAGTCCCTTGGTGCATATATGGTACAAGGTTATAACTCATGATGCCAAAAGGTTTTATATATGAACCCTTCTTTACAAAATTCAACACCTTGACACATGAGAAAACGCGAAACTGGCCGGCTTGGCGTTTCTGCCTGAGCCTTTCGAAGGGCCTAGCAGCTAGCACAGCCATCCGTCCGTGCCGTCATGACGGACGCAACAATGAGATTGGTGACCGGTGGCCGTCATTGCCATCCAGCTCGCGTTTGTTTTATCGTGTTTGTCCACTTTCGGCAAGTGCTGTAAAGGCCGGCCGTCCACTTTGGGCCCTTGCATCGCTGCTCAAGGCAGGGAATCCGATAATCCTATCAATCAGGTCATATCCAATCGGCTGTGGCCCAGCAAGGATTGCTTGAATAAGTTGAATCTAAGGCAAGGCCGAGTTGAATCTAAGTTGAATAAGTTGAATCTAAGAATGTCCAAAAATCCCAAACAATGGCACTTGCGTGGAAAAGCTAAAAGCCTGAAGAGACCTCGCATCTGTCACAATCGTACGGCTACATCAGTCAAGTGAATCTCCTTTGCTTTTCTGATACTGTGTAGTGAGTAAGGGTCCGTAGAGTGCACTCAGCATATGCACGTTGTCATATGGAGCAAAGGAGGTTGCATGAAGTCTAGGTGCAACAGCTGTCTGTGCGTGTTGTTCGCGCAAACGCTGCAGTGGGAACGAACATGCCCTTCCGTCGACATTGCAGCAACAAATGGCTGCACTGCACCGTCTCAAACCTTGCTTGGCTGCACTTGCACCTATACATTATTTGACATTATGTGCAGCAACTTGGATCTAAACAACATGTGCTTGCCTACACATTGGACACCGGATAGTCCTCTTGGCCTCCCTCGCAATGAATGTCACCAGGCAGTGGCGGTGGTAGGAGTGCTTGCATCGCAGCTGTTTCACCACTTCACCAGGCTCCATTGGATCCAAGCAAATGGGGCATAGGCCTTCGACATTGATGCGCACGTCAGGAACTTGTGCCGAGACCTCGGACCAATTCACCGGTTTTTGAGGCGCTGGTGAGTGCTCTACCACCGCACCGATGATCCGAACAGTCCAAGCAAGCACCACAAACGTCAAATAGGCGCCCAAGACCGAGATGTAGTCCATGACGGCCATGGCTGCTAGGCACCCACCGTGGACCGTGGTGGTCACAAGAATACAAGAATCAACCTCTCTCTATTCCCATATATTATATAAGTTATTCTTGTCTGCGCTCTTTGCCACACTTCATGAACCTTTAGGAACATCATGCAACTAAAGGCCAGCAGCTAGAAGCTGGCATGGAGCTGAGCCGGGCTGAGCCTTATGAGTCATGAGCTCATGGGTTTAACCACCCACAACCAAAACCCATCTACCAAACATTGCCTCACAACTTGCCAAAGCTTGCAAGAAATGCAACGATTTCACACCTCTTCTTCACGTTGCTGTTGGTCGAGTTCTTCTCGATGCCTCTGGACATGATACTATCTGGTCAGTCTTTCACAATGTCATCACTGTGGGAGTCAATGCTTGCGCAGTGTAGTTTCCAAGGGTCACTCCTTCCCCTCTCCACAAGGTGATCGCGCTTGGCGCATGCAAAGCGAACTACGCCGGAGACTACAAAGCATGGGGAGTGAAGGCATAGGGTAGATGACACTGACTGACACCTTTGGACTCCTGTCATTGGGTCAACAGCGCTCTTGATTAAAGAAACTTATTGTGATCGCCAGTAGTGGGAGATTCTTTTTGTTCATTCCTGAAAGCCAAGGGCAATGGTAAGATCCAGGCCTGTGCAGCTCCTCCTGATGCTTCTGTAGTTCTTGGAGCTTGGCATCACGCTCGGCCTTGACACCAAGTAGCCAACAGTACTTGTCGGCCATAAGTCCTAAATAATATGTGAATCTCCATTTGCAGGGTAATCAACCTCAGAACAAACTATGTTATATATATATATATTATGTACATTGTACATTTATGAAAAAGTAAAACCGCTCCAACCCCTGAAACGCCGAACCTCCATGGCAAGAGTGTGTTCACAAGTTCGGGCCTCACCACGTTCACGACAATGTTCCACGTCTCTGCGCTGGGCTTCCAGCTGTGCCTGCGAATTGGTGCCCCAGCATCCCAAACTTTAATCACCACACGTCAACAAAAATTGGCATTGATAACATCTCGGCTCAGCTTGGAGTGGCTAGCGTGCCTGTTGCTCCTCTAAGTCGTTTGCCTAGGGAACACCCAACAACAAGCAGCAAGCAACAACTAAATAACCAACAAACAAAAACAAGCAACCACCCACCACCACAGCACACTCTGACAATTGTATTCAGTCAACTCAATTCCCAGGTCAAAAATGGTGAGGGAACGGCAAGGTGAAGAGTCCGCAAAAGTGTAGATGTTTTAACAAAAGAGTTTGTCGCGTGACTGCGGTGGCGCGCTGCAAAGCCCTCGGCGGCTGCAAGTGGCTGAAGAACCAGTGTTTGAGGGGCAGTAGCATGAAGAAGGACCATGAAAACAAAGAAAAGCAGCGAGGGAACCATTGGAGTCAGTGTGTTCAGTGCAGGTACGTCTGGCTGATCAGGCCAGATATCAGCACGGGACTTGACCCTCTTCGTTGGATCACCAGTCAAGTCCGTGGGTGATCCCCCTGCGGGTGAAACAATTGGCGGTGGAGGTCATGAAAGGAAACCCTTTGACCAGGGGGCGACACACACAGGTCGCCGTCGTCGGCGCTTTTTTCAAAAACCGGTGGCAGGCTTGGTGGTTGTGTCCTTTTTGGACATAGAGCCTCACTAGCTCGGCGGCAGCAACTTCAGCGCTTGAGGGTGGAAAGGTGTATTTGTGGATAGTGTGGAGTCTGGATTGAAGGCCTGACAGAGCCAAGCGCCGGCTCCCGGCTGTGGTGGCATCCCTGATTTTCCAGGGTTGGGAAGGTTGTATGTAGGTGATGGTGCGTTGTTGGAGGTCAATGTTGAACCCCAGGAGGTGAAAGTCATCGACAGGTTCCAGTTCCACTGGGTCCCCGAAGAAATTGTGGTGGATGAGGGTTTGAATGGCTGGGTGGTGGAGGAAGTGTTCATTGTGGACAATGAAGCGGTCAACGTAACGGTAGTAAGCAAAGTGCAGGTCTGTGTGTTGCAGTAGGTTGTTGTGGATCTGGTGCCAGGAGTGTTCAATGAGGGTGATGGCGACATTGCAGAGGGCTGGAGAGAGTTGGGAGCCAATCCCAGCTCCTCGGATTTGTTTGTAAGTGTTATTGCAAGCCCGGAAAATGCAGGTGTTGAGTGCATAAGCGACGATAGTGGTGATGTCGGAGGTCTGGATGGTGCGTTGTGTATAGGGTGTTTCTGGTGGTGTCTGCCGATGTGGGAGTGGTGGAAGGGATTGCCGGTTGCTTGAACATCCACAGTGAGAGTGTGTGTGTGTGTGGATTGTTGTTGTTGCCAGTGCTGTATCATGGAGTGGACTGCATCGATCAGTCGGTGTTGGGGGACCGAGTTGAAGAAGCCCACCAGGTCGTTGGTAGCATAGAGGGAGATGTCTGCCGGTGTTTGAGTGAGGTAGCTGTGGAAGTGGTGCCATAGTTGGGGGATGGAGAGCTGCCCTGGATGTTGTGGGTAAAGGTGTTGAAGTATAATGTCGAGGGCCCGGCTGGTGATACGTAGGAGGTTGCCTGTGAGTGAACGGAAGTAGGAAATAATGGTGCGGCCCTTTTGCCAGTGCTTTTTCTCCTTGAGGTGAACCACTCCGTAGGGAATGTTGAAATCCTTGCGGAATCCCCACTTGTAGCGTGTGCAAAGGATGGGTGGAACCGTGGCTTTGAGATGGTCGTGGATGTTGGCGGCTGTGAGGTATGGAAGTGGTTCAAAAAGCTCTGGGGATTGCCATGTGTTCAGAGCTCCGGTGAAATATTGACGATGGCAGAACAGTCGGAGTTGTTGTAGCTCATGGTCAGCATGGTGAAGTACTGTATGTGGGCCGAGAAGTTCTTGGAGTTGTCGGAGCAGGCGAGCGGTAAAACGGGGTTGGTGTTGAAGATGAGCGTTGTGGAGGCGCCATTGGTGTGTGAGGAACGGTTCCAAGTGCTGGACGAGGGATGGTGGTAGGCCTTGAATTTTGAGCCACTTCGTGTAAGCTTGCTGGAAAGTGAGGAAGTAGCGGGCCTTGCTGGGGTAATAAGTGCTGTTCATGTTGGCGTTGAGGAAAATGGTGAGATGCGGTGGAAGTTGGAGTTGGTCCAAGGTGAGGATGTAGTGACCATTGGTGGTAGGGGTGTCAGGGTCGTGGAGGAGAGTGCGAAGGTGGTCGCACGCGCAGGGGAGATCTGCTGAAGCTGGTGGTGAGTGAAGAGTGTCTTCCCAGGTCCTGTGATTGTGGAGCTGAGATCGCAGAGTCTTGTGTGCTGCTTCACGGATGCGATGGGAGGGAAGGTGGAGGGGGATGGCTAAGTGTTTGTGCTGTTGGATGGTGGTACGGAGCCATTGTTGACAGTGTTTGGTGAAGTCTTCGTGCGCCAGGAAAGGCACTGTGAGCGGAATGTTGGGTTTGGGTGGTGTAAGATTGCGATAGAGAAGGGCTTTGTTGATAATGTGGAGGGCTCTGCTGCGGCCTGGTTCTTCAAGATTGGCGGCCATGCGCCAGATGGCATAGACTTCTAAGTCCGTATGTCGGCCACTTCGCAGTTGTTTGGCTGCTTCAAAGGAGGCTGCGGTGTGTTTAGTGAGGTCACGCAGAAGTGTAAGCGCGTGATGTTTGGTGGAAGTGTAAAGATGAGGTTCGCGGAGGGTGTGTTGGCGTTGCCTCAGTCGTCGAAAAAGGCGTTTGTGGGTGGCTAGTCTGGAGTAGAAATGTGCTCGATGTTTGGTGAATTGCCATCCCTGGGCCTTGAGTTTGAGGTGTTGGGAGATGAACGGCCAGTTGAGTGTGGGCATCCAATTGGCAATATGGTGGTGTTCCTGGATCCAGGCTTGATCGTAGGTGTCGTGGGACGTGAGCTGGATGATTGTGTATTGGTGAATGTTGTTGTGGGAGTGCCAGTAGCGTAAAGATAGTTCGGCTGAAATAGGAATGTTGTTCTGCAGTTGTTTGAGCTTGGCGCGGCGGTTGTGCTCTCTATGAGGGATGCCAATGGCTGTTGAGCCAACGTAGAAATGGCCATGCTGGTGGTAACAACGCTGGGGGGGAAGGGGAGTGAAGTGGAGTTTGATGTAGACGGAATTCTGAGAAAGAAAGTTGTGGTAGTGGTAGGTATGGGGAAGGATGTGGAGCTGCCGGAAACGGTTTCTCCATTGTTGAGATCGATGTGTTGTGGATGGGTAGGCAAAGAGGAGGGTGATGTGAATGAGACCTGTTGCAAAAATGGCTTCTGCGCGTTCGATGTATTGGGTGTGGTGGATCAAAATGGATAGTGCGCAGTGGAGGTGGAAGAGTTGTTGCATAGTGTTGTGGCTGGGTTGCTGTTGGCTGAGCATAGCGAGTCAGCAACCAATGGCTGCTCCCACACTTACCAAGTGTTGCAAACTGCGAATAGGGAGGCGATTGATGCGGCCGAGTGGGAGGCCGTAGCGGGTAGCTGCGTCTTTCAGTTGCTGGGTAGTGACTTTACTTGTTTGCAGAAACCGGAGGACTTCATTGGCGGCCTCCTGGACAGTGGGTTCGAAAGTGGTGACTCACTGTTGGATATCAGCATTGGTCCAGCTGTCGGGGGCGTCGTCCTTCAGTGTTGGGTGTGGAGGTTGCAGGACATCTGCCAGCAATGGTGGCTTGGAGGTAGGTGGAGTTGGTGGATGGGATGGTTCGGTGGCATGGCTAGCGCTCTTGACAGGAGTGAGAGGATTGCCCAGGATGTGGAGCTTCTGTTTGGCGCGAGCAAGTTCGTCGGTGGTGTTCTTGAGGGCTCGTAGGGCTGTGCCTTCCGCAGGTGCTGGTGAATGAGATTGGAGTTGTTGGATGAGAAGATTGATCAACGGGGCGTGGAAAGCCCGTGCTTGGGTGGTTTTGCTGGGGACTTCGGTGCCTTGTTGGGTTTCGGCAATGCCGTCCAGGTCCAGGCGTTTCTCCCGGACCTCCTGGAGGAGGTGTGTGACGAACACAGATTCCGCCACACTCCTGGTGGCGATGAATCTTCATCCTGTGTATTTCCCGTGGCTGAGGGTACGGGCTGTAAACTCTGAAGTGCTGTGGTAAGCAAGTTGCCAAGGAAAAATGTCAAAAGTTGGAAGGCCGGCAATTCCGGCCTTGCGCGACCATTGGGTGGGTTTGGATTGTTTTGTAGAGCTGGTGGCCGTGAAGTGTGTTGGCATCCCAATGTTGATCAGTTTGATGCCAGGAGTCTTGAAGTGGTGGCTTGGGGGAAGGAATGTGGGGTGGTGGCGGGGGTGCAAAGCCTGGGGCAGCAGGTGCTCCTGGCTGTGGGCTGTGTTTGAAAGACGAGCCGGGTGGAGTAACTGGAGCGGCAGTAGGTAGTGGTGGAGGCGGTGGGGGTGGGAACTCTGGTTTGGATGGTGGGGTCACCTGTGGCGGTGTGTGTTGCGGTGGTGGAGTATACGGGTGGGTGTGGTGAGTCTGGTGCGCACGAAGAGCGTGAGTGAGCGGACCGTAGGTGCCCGTGGGGTTGTATGGGTGATGGCTGACAGGATGGTGGGTAGTGCCGGTATCAGTGGTGGCGAGCTGCTGTTGCTGCTGCTGCTGGAGCAAATAGTGGTTCCAGTAGTATTGCTGCCATTGTGCGTCCATGATGGAATGCTGGCTGGAACACGAGTGAGGGCGGTCACGAGTAGTTGCTTAAGCAAGCTGAAAAATGAATAAGAAAAGTACATCCATGCAACCTGAAAGTTCATAGTGGTGGGAAAGGCAAACAACTGGTAACTGTGAAAGTGAAATGCCGAGTTGTACACCAGTTGCAGCACTAAGAGCAAAAAATGAAGAAAGAAAAGTCAAAGTCAAAGTTCGGCAGCGGGAGAACACCTAGCATTTTTCGTGGTGCGTAGTGAAACTGATGTAGGCCTCGAGGTGGATGCTACAGTCTGAGGATTGATGTCACAGTGTAGGTAGTTCGTGGAAAGTAGACGGGTTGGTTAAAATCAAAATTGGATCCTCAAAGCAGAAGGCTCTTGTGGCCGGCTGAAAGCTGCGCCGCGTTCAGTGGTTGTCGGCGTGCCAGGGGTCATGCTCCGGTTCATAGTTTTGAAATTGGAGCGGCAGGGGGCGCCCCTGCGCGTCGTAGTA